CAGATTAATAATTAATGGAGTATGTCATCTCCAGTCAAAGATGACTACATAGGAAGTCAACAAAAAGTGCCATCTTCCATAGTAAACAAGTCCGAGGCATTGCTTATAACTTATTATTTTCTATCATGCTTTCTAATTCACAACATATACCAGTAAGGTATGCTGAATATACAGAAAAAACAAGCTACACAGAGAATCCTGGAACTTATTAAAGATTCTAAGGTAATGGCTGCAGGCCAGGTTGCAAGAGCATTATTGGACTTAACAATCACTCCTATGTATTAAAAGTCATGTATCTAACAGAAAAGATATTATTAAGAAGGGGGAGCCTACTAAGGCCAAAGCTGCATTAGTGGACTGTGCAACAGAATAGGCTAGATTCACTAGCTGCTTTGCTCTGCTCTAATGATGTAAACCAGCTTAACTAACCAGTTAACAATAAAGAGTGAAGAGGTTTCGTAGTGGGTTAGAATAAGATTAAATATCAGGCCTGATCTTAAAAAGGAAATCATTTGCCATACTTTTTTTTTTTTTTTAATGAAATGAAAAACTTCATCAGGCTTGAATTTTTTCTGTGGAATTTTCCAATTTTTCAACAAAGCAATCTGAAACAAACAAAATGCATCAATTCAAATCAAATGGCATCAAAAAGGAAAGGTGGGTTTTCCTCCTCCCCCACTTTAAAACCCAACTAAAATGTTTTGATTCCATATAACTCAAATCAAAATAATTCAATTTTTAATTTTCATCGCAAAATCAGAAAGTTTTGAGTATGAAAGGTTTTGTATAATTCCAAATGCATTTTTTGGTTGAAAAACCTTTGATGAAAAGTTTTTGACCACCTCTACCAAATATTTTACTTGTATTTGAACTTTGGTTATGCCTAGTTTCTTTAAGCAGATCAAGAAAGATAGAGGGGTACAAGTAAATGTTATTAGTGTAAATGTATAACTGCAAATTATTCCTGTACATATGCATAATGCTAAACAAGTATATGATAGACAAACAACTAATATTTATTATTCCATTAGCTGATATAATTATTTCAAATTAAGGTATCAGGTGTAGGGTTATTTCATATTTGGAGTTTTCATATACAATGCATTTTGGATAAATACAGTAACTTTACACTTAATAGGGACCCTTGAAAAGTAGCTTGAAGCATAAGCCTTTTAGGGTTGTCTACATGGCAAAGAAAAACCCACGGCTGGCCCTTGCCAGCCGACTCAGGCTCACGCTGCAGGTTTCATTGCTGTGTAGGCTTCTGAGCTTGGACTGGAGTCCAAGGTCGGACCGGAGCCCAAGGTCTGGGACCCTCCCACCTCACAGGGTCCCAGAGCCCAGGGTGCATCCTGAGTCAAGAAGTCTACACAGCAACTAAACAGCCCTGCAGCCTGTACCCCACAAGCCCAGCTTGGCTGGCACGTGCCAGCCCTGGATTTTGCTTTGCTGTGTAGACATACTGTTAAACTTGACAGTCTAAAGACTTGTTTCTTTATTTGACTGTGCCTCCAGGACTAGACCATTCATGCCTAAGAGGACTACTTTTGGAAACTCCAAAAGGAGGAAGACTGTTTGGTTGTTTTATGACAATATATCATAGGGATCTGTTCATCTTACTCATACAAACATACTGTCAAAATGGCCACTGAGGAGGTTAAAGTGCAGTTTAGTAATGAAAAGCAACTTAAAATAACAGGATCTGGGTTCTATATTTGTTGTCTCAATGACTTCACATCAATTTTGCTTGATTTACAAAGTAAAGAGTTTTTTCCCCTAACTGCCAGCCCAGAAAACTCAACATGGGTTCTGATAAACTGGGTTCTTTCTCACGCAGAAATAGTCATAAGTAACACAAGTTAAGTATTCACAACTGTTTTGATGCACGAGGCAGAAAAGAGTCCAGCTCTCTCTCCCATAGCCCTGCAGAGCCAACACAGCTAACAGGAGTAAAAGACAGTTTAAAAAAGTATTTTTGTCCCCAGTTTAGGACTCTGAATATACCCAGGGTGCAGGTCTTTGAGGTAAAAATGTGCCATTCCTACCTAGATGTTGTTCAGACCATCACTGCACTTTAATTATTTAAGTAGTATGGAATACTTTCTTCTCCTGAAACAGAGAGAATAGAAATTTCTAAACAATATGCTGTGGTTCAACCAAAATTTAAGGGCTTAATGGCAGGAAATTTCTGGATAAAATTCTATGGCCTATGTTATACAAACAGTTGGACTAGATCAACCTTTCCAGACTACTGTACCCCTTTCAGGAGTCTGATTTGTCTTGCATACCCCCAAGTTTCACCTCACTTAAAAACTACTTGCTTACAAAATCAGACATAAAATACAGACGTGTCAGAGTACACGATTACTTAAAAATTGCTAACTTTCTCATTTTTACCATATAATTATAAAATAAATCAATTGGAATATAAATATTGTACTTATATTTACACTGAAATGTGGTATATAGAGCAATATAAACAAGTCATTGTTTGTATGAAATTTTAGTTTGTACCAACTTCGCTAGTGCTTTTTATGTAGCCTGTTGTAAAATTAGGCAAATATCTAGATGAGTTGATGTACTTCCAGGAAGACCTCTGCGTACCCCCAGGGATATGTGTATCACTCTTTGAGAATCAGTGGGCTAGATGATCATAATCATGCTTTCTGGCCTTACAGTCTATGAATTCGGTAAACTACATTTACATTCATGAGAAAAGCATGGGCATGTCAGGTCAGCCAGGATGTTCTCCATCTCCTGGAGGAAGATAAGGATGGGTACTGTTAGTGCCAGCAGAGCTGGGTACCATGGCTGAGCGTATCACAGTGAAGTCACGGATACTCTCATTACCCACATCTTAATGCACGAGTCACAATGCAAGGCAACATGACAAAGGGATGTGAGGAGTGGGGTTAGGGAAGGTACTTGTCTTATTGCAGGTGTGCATCCACCACCAGAGCATTTGGATCTGGACTCCAGCCATACAATTGTTCCAGCTGACAGGTGAGATGGGAGGTGAAAAGACTGCCCCCACAGGCCCAAACATTGGGCAATCCATGAATACACTTTCCCTCCATGGGTCTAAATATCAGCATCCCCGAAGTAACATGTAAATCACTATTGTGTTAGAAAACCCTGGAAAGTTTTCTATGTTGGCTGAAATTTGGGTTTTGAGAGAAAATTCCCAGATCTTCTAAATGCCAGGAATGGTTGTCTGCACAGTGTGTGTTGATTCCTTCAGATGCATTAAACCGTGGGCACAGAAAACAACAATGGAGTTACAGCGCCCTCCCATCGGACTCTTGAATGAATCTGCTCTAGGGCCTCCGGAAGTTGTGATTGGTTGAACCTGTGGACGTGGCTGGTAAACAAACCAGCCCGGCCTGCCAGGGGCTTACCCTGAACAAGTCTTTCAACTACCTGAAAGGGGGTTCCAAAGAGGATGGATCTAAACTGTTCTCAGTGGTACCAGATGACAGAACAAGGAGTAACAGTCTCAAGTTGCAGGGGGGGAGGTTTAGGTTGGATATTACGAAAAACTTTTTCACTAGGAGGGTGGTGAAGCACTGGAATGGGTTATCTAGGGAGGTGGTGGAATCTCCTTCCTTAGAGGTTTTTAAGGTCAGGCTTGACAAAGCCCTGGTTGGGATGATTTAGTTGGGGATTGGTCCTGCTTTGAGCAGGGGGTTGGACTAGATGACCTCCTGAGGTCCCTTCCAACCCTGATATTCTATGATTCTAAGTCACACCCTAGTTTGGGAACCACTGGTCTAGGGCACATGGAAACTGAATCATCTTCTGCCACATTAAGAAGAATGCTCCCCATTATCAGGGTTGAGAGGAAACAGTTGACTGTTTCTTGCTCTGTACCTGTTTGTTGGATAGAGACAGGACTTCAAGTCTCCATTGCTCAGTCAAATCAACACTTTTCACAAACACCACATTCACATGCAATTAAACAAACATTCATCCCCCTCACTCTTCTTCTGAAAGCAGAAAAAAAAAAAAAAAAGAGCCAGTCAGAGGCACAGGCTTCATCCAGACACTAGCATTGTGCAGGAGTGAGAAGAGAGCTCCCTAACCTGCAAACCACTGTAAAGTTGACCTTTTCCCTTGTTTGCTACTGTTGAGAGGACTGGAGCATTAAAGAAAGCCCATTATGGTATGAGCACCTTGTAAGATTCTCTCCCCCACCCCCATCACAACAAAAAGCATTGATTGCAATGATCGGCAGAAAATGTAAAGCACAAGTCAGCTGATTCCTGGCAACACAATAGTAAGATTAGCTCATCTACAGCAGACAAACATGTATGTATTATATGGGTTTTAAAGTTAAGACAGGCAAAAAAGCTGTGGTTTTCATATGCAGTGTTTCTACTCTGTAATGCAAAAACGTATCTAGTAACTTATTACTTCCTAGTGACTATAAAAAAGCCTTTTAAAAAACATCCTTTCCCTTGTTTTGAAATCTGCATATATCTAGCTTTGTTTTGTACTAGTTTTTCCTGATAACTTGTTGTCCCTTATACTGCCATATAGATTTCTTCAAACCCTTTTCTTTTAAACCCACTTGCCTTTTTAAAAAGTCCAAATTGAACAAATCTAAGCCCCCCCGGGAAACCCAGCGACTCCATTCTTTGACTGGCTCCTAAATGTTAAAAAGGCAAAAAAAAAAAAAAAGCAGCAATCACACAGCAGTAGCAGCAGCACCAGCCACCGCTGCCTGCAAACAAAGGGGGCAGGGAACTGTTTGCAGGCTGGGTGTCACGTTACTCAACCTCCTTCTCTTTAAATCTCAATCCCCGCCCCTCCCAATCGCCACTATATAACTCAGACTGACAGGTCCTGCTTACCAATGGCAGGGATCTTGCCACTTTTGGCGCCCGGCCACAGTTTCTCCTTCAGCCAATGGGGAGCGGAGATCGAGGTATTACACCCAAGGGGACAGCGGAGCCTCCACCAATGGCAGCAGTGTTATTAAAGAGAAATACTATTATGCTAATAGATGTTTTGCTCTAACTTGGTGAGGGCTTTAAAAGCGAGGCAGCCCCAGGCTCACCAGCAGACTGCAGAGGTTCCGAGGCTGGTTGTGTTTCCTGCACGTAGAGCGGGGACGGGTGGAAATCACAGCCCTTTTCTCCCCAGGAGCACCGCGTTGGGTCCCTGCCTTCCTTGGGCAAAACAGCAGCAGGACCATCATGTCCAACGTGCACCTCTCCAGCGCCTCGGCTCTGGAGCGCTTGGCCGCCCGCAGGACTTTCCCCTTGCACGCCCGCACGGGGGTCTGCCGGAACCTCTTTGGCCCGGTGGATCACGAAGAGCTGAGCCGGGAGCTGAAGAGCAAACTACGGGAGATCAGCGAGGATGACCAGAGGCGGTGGGACTACAACTTCCAGACCGACACCCCGCTGGACGGCCCGGGCAGGCTGCAGTGGGAAGAGGTGGAGGGAGGCTCGGTGCCCGCTTTCTACCGGGAGACACTGCAGGTCGGGAGGTGCCGCTTCCCGGTGCTGCTGGTCAGGTCCAAGCTACCTCTGGGGGACATGGATACTCCTGCGGGAGTTAACCCCAGGGACTCTCACCAGGAGCTGGTGGTGTCTGCGTCCTCCTCCCTCAGCCCCCAGGGTAAGACGGCCGCCTTGGAAAGCACTATCGCGGGGGGTAAAGAGCGGCTCAACCAGGAGAACCGATCCGATCAGCTCAACAACCACTCAGGGATTACAATCAAACCCGTACCCTGCGCGCCAGCGGCGCTCAAAAGGGTCTCGCCCTCCAGCGCAGCCCACATCACAGGTAAGGATGGGGGCTGGGGCATGCCCCAAGCACGACCCAGGCGCGCACCCCCGGGGCTCTCTGTGCTTAAATGCCCCCGCCTGCCCCGGGGGTTTAAAGGGCCCCGGGCATCGCTGGCTCTGCGGAAAGGCTGGCGGCGCAGCTCGCTGGGGCCGGGCTCGGCGCCCGGCCGGGGAAACGCTTACACAGCACATTGCGCGCTGCAGGCCGGCGAAGTAAACAAACCCGACCCAGCTGCAACCCTCCCCCGAGGCAGAGAGGGGGAGTCAAGAGCCGCCAGGCCTCCTCTGCCCGCCTTCTCCCGTGTGTGCTGTTGTGCGGGTGCCCGGGCAGGGCGGGTCCCGGCTGCTACCCCACGCTCGTATCCCCGTCCCGCGGGGGCCGCCCCTGGGGTAGGTGGCGCTGGGGTGGCGGCCGGTGTGTGTGTGTGTGTGTGTGTAAAGCCTCGCTCCTGGGTTTGGTCCCTAGATTTCTTTGTCAAGCGGAAAAGGCTGGGGGACGCCAAAGCTGCCTGCGACCATCCCGGCGGGTGTCCCGCCTCTGCGCCCGCCGTGCCCGCCGAGCAGACTCCCCGGAAGCGGCTGCGGTGAATCAGGTGAGCGCCCTCCCCGGGGACCAGAGCGAGCGGCCGCCTCGTCACAAAACACAGCCGCAGGAGGAGGAGGGCTGCTGCTGCTGCCCGGCTGCGGGGCGGGCCTCGGGAGGGGGCTGCTGGGCAGGGGCGGGGGAGGGCAGTGTCCAGCCTGGCGCCGCGAAGCGGGGACCCACTAAACGTCTCCCCGCGGGGCGTGCGCGCTGCGAACAAAACAGCGGGGCCCTGATTCTCGCTTGGAGCTGGGGGCCGAGTCCCATTGGAGGGCGGGCCGGCCAGGCTGCTGCCCCGCTCTGCCAACGCAAGGGAAGCCACTTCCCGGGGTGAGCCAGGGCCGCCTACCCGGTGCTGAGTGAGATCAGGCCGGGGAAGGAGCTGGTTTCGTTGACGCATTCGCCGAGATGGGGCGGGGTCTGCCGACTTACTTTGTGGCCGCCGGGGGCTCTGTGTCTGCTGGGAGCAGCAGTCGCGGTTGCTTTCAGGGCGCGTTCACGAAATTCATATGGCTTCTTCCCTTTCCTCTCCTCCCCCCGCCTTTTCTCCTCAGATTTTGCACTATGACACCTAAGGGAGATTTTGCTTCGTCTCTGGAGGCGCGGAGCCCAGCGGCTGTTCTGCCCACACTTCGTCAGGGGGCAACTCGCACGAGATCTGGAGCAAGGAGGATTAAGATCTAAGCATCCCTACACCTTCTCCCCCACAAGGAACTGCATGGAGTGAGAGTGGCTCTGACTACAGCCACGACGGAGCAGTGTTAATTTACAACTGTGCAATGTATTGCGTTTTATATATAAATGTATTATGCCTAATGTGAGTACACTGGCCAGAAGTGTAAAGCTTTAAAGTCATTTATATGAAATGTTTAATCTTTGCTGATCTCTCAGTGCAAAAAAAAATGTATATTTGTACAAATCTTTTTTTAAAAGAGTTATACTAACTTATATTTTCTATTTATGTCAAATGTGGATAACGTTGGTTGACACCCAATAGTCTTGTTTTTTTTTTTTTTTTAATTTTGGTTAAGCCAAAGGGCACTATATTTGCTTTTATTTACAAAATGTAAATTTTATTTTTATAGGGGTTTTTTTTTTTGCATTCACAAAATGTAGCTATAAAATCAAATTTTTTTAGTTTTTACTTGAAGACAAATCTGTTTCAATGGTTCCTGAGCCGGTCTGTACCACTGCCATTGCAAATAATGCCACAGTTCAAATAAAAAAAAGGAGTCCAAAAATCTATTGATGTTAATTAGTATTAAAGAAACATTTAGTGGAACACAAGTGACAGGAACTGCTATAGTTTGCAAACGTTAGAAAACACCTGTATAAACTTAGTTACTCCTTAGAACTGAAACTGTCTCTCAATTCTATTAACTCATTCATTCTCACACTCCATAGCTGCTGGGGTAGAGGGACACTAGAAACCAAGGACAATTTCCATATCTTTGTAAAGTAAAGTGCTCAAAGAACATAAGGATTGTAGTATAAAGAATCACAGGATCAAAATATGCAACACACCACCAGCCAATATAAATATTTAAAAAACACTTTGCTCCTTATCCTTTACATATTGCATAGCATAATAGATTTTTCTAGTGGTGAAGATTGTTAGAGGGATAATTCTCTTCTCCCATATATTGTAAGTAGTACACAATTGATTAGCTGTCAACTTTCTCTAAAACAGTAGGGTTGTAGCCACTGCTGGAGTTAGCACGGGCCAATTATCTGAGTCCCATAATCTAAAATATACTACATTAGCAAAAAGATACAATCCCTCAAACCTTGCTTTCATAATTCATGTAGATATAACATTAATTTACAGGTCTAGACAAAGCTCTGGCCCATTTAATCCAGGAGAAGACTGAATTTGTGTTCAATACAATGCCTTTTAACATTGTTTCATGCTTGTTCTTTGTGGGGAGGAATATCTATTTTGTAAAGCATCTTGCCATCCATATAAAATTAGCTTGAATGGCTACTGTTTTTTAAACTCATTTAATCTGCAGTTAAATCTGCCCAAAGTGAAACTGTAGGATGACACTGTCAGGCACTTCAGGTTCCATTGGCGTGTGCCAAGCTTTGACACACCTACACACCATTTGCAAGTTGAATGGTCTGATTCAAAAATCTTCCAGTGACCCGTTATTTACAGATCAGTGGCATGATAAACCATAGTGGCTCCTCTGCTGTGTCAATGCATTTAGGGAGCTCTTAATCCTTGACACAATAGACGGAGCCTTCTGCTCTTGTTCAGAAAAGTTTATATTTTAAAAGTATTACACTGCATTATCTGGCATCACAGTATTATGTGCATCAAAAGACCACATGCAAAACTGCTTTGTGCCCAGCAATATATGTTTGTAAACTTCAAAAACAAAAAAAAAACCTTAACTTGCTTGTATTTGATTCCCTGTTTTATTGGAACACAAAACATTTTAATTGCAAGGAAGTGCTTCCTGGTATGGCAATTTAAATCGAGAATATGTGCTTATGAGTCAGCTATAAATCCTGAAAACTATAGTTTGTAATAGAAATGGTAACATACAATCGTGCTGTTAACTATAACATAGGGTCTAGTTATAAAAAAAAAAAAATACATCAACCTTTTAGTATTAACATTTTACTGCCTATTTTGTCACAATAATGGACAAATATCACAACCTATTGTCACTTAAGTACACTATCTCTGCAGCCGTGATAAGATTGAAAACATGGAGGACTATTACCGAAATAACCCCACTTTAAAATCTATACATGGAAATTATTCACAATCCAGGCAGGCACAGAGCATTACCATTATATATCTATATCTATATAGATATATAGATATATAGATATAGATATATAGGGTGGGAAGGAAGGTTGTAAAGGTCTAAAAAGTGTTCCAAGCATAGTATCCTGTGACATATTATATATATATATATATATATATATACATACACATACATACATACATACACACACACACACACATTTTTCTTTAAATCTGATTTACCACTTTTGAATGGCTGGATATTTCAGGATTTTCTGCACTTGCATAACTTGAAAACATATACACACAAGTTGTAGCTCATAGTGTAATTAGGTAAACGAGACAAAAAATTAGTTTGTGTGTGTGTGGTCGGTCAGTACGTTTGGTAATTTTTTTTTAAACTGTCAATATCGGTGCAAGCAAACACAATAGCATAGAAGAGGCTGCGAAGGCAGCGTTTGAACGCTGTAAACTACCAGGGACCTGACAGAGTTGACGGCCAAATGCCAGCCAGGGTTCCAGAGCTTTAACTCACACGTAGGGATGAGAAATCAGCCCACATTTCCCATCTGAAATCTCTTGCCCATGTGGTTTAACGCAGGCTCTTAAGGTAACGCTTACATGGAGTTTTAGCAGCTGAATTTCCTTTGGTTTTTACGGTAATTTCTGAGGTTGGGTTATATTAGCCTTTATGTACCTATAAAATACTCATAAGTGGTTTAGTGACCCTTTCGACTTCTCCCCTCTAAACATCGCTGTAGTTTAATCTGGCGATTTGAAATCTCTGTCCTCCCCCTCGCCCCAATTTAAATCCAGCTGCTGATTTATACCGCTGAGCTGATCTTGCGGTTCCCAAATTAATGTCTCGGCGCTAGCTGAGAGGGGCGCAGTCTTAAATCCTGGGCTAACCTCAGGCGGGGAGAAAAGTGACTGGCAGCGAGGGAAGCTTTAGTTGAGCTGATCCACTGTGTGGGGATCTGGGGAAGCACAGGAGGATTTGGAGACAGGGCAAGGACCCGGGAGCAGGGAAAAGAGCAGGAGATCCAGGGGCCGAGGACGGAGAGAATCCTGGATTGGGGCAGAAGGATCCGGGTTGCCCAGTCAGGATAAGGAGACGTCCCCGACTCATTCCTTCCCTCAGCCCCCGTTTAGCCCTGGCTTCCGTTCAAACACTCCTCCCCCCACCCTTTGCTCCTACAAAATCCCCAAATAGCACAAGCGCCGCGGCCTGTCTGGCTGAGGACTGCGGTTTCATATGCTTTGCAGCCTCCTGCAATGCATCCTGCTGCAGCAGTTGTGCAGACAAGTCCCTGATTCCTATTAGCTATCAAACCCATTATTTCACGATGCCAGGGAGGAGGAATAAAGCTTCCCAGCGGCCAGCACATTTTGCTTGAAAGGCAATCACCTTTATTTCAAAGGCAATCACCCGAGCCCCCGTGAGCTCTGTCTGCTCTGCCAGGGATGAAGTTTATGCAACGCTTCGCACTATAAAAGTAACATTGATTACCTCAAAACGATATGATCACTTAATCAGAACTTGATTTATTTTATGGTGCCTGCATCAATGGGCCCCGATTCAAAACGATTTTCCCCTTTGAAAAGAAAAAAAAATAGCTTTTCCCTTTCTTATTAAAAGCCAACAATACACGGAGGGAGGCAGCTGGATCCTCCAGGATTTATGGGCTTTTCTCTTGCTTTCATGGAAGCAGGTGCCTTTGGGACTTCCATTGTCTCAGCGTCTTACTAATAATAGGACCTTCTGAAATGAAAGATCCATACTCTCTGTAGCCTTCAAAGACCTCGTATGGCGGAGCCACAGTTTGCACAAAGGTGCAAAACCCCACCCCAAAGCAGAAAACGTTGGCGTTTATTTATTTTTATTAAACGCTCATTTTCTTTACAGAGCGATTGTTTCGAAGGACTACTAACAGGAAGCGCTGGGGAAAGTTTGGGGCGCTAGAATGGGAGAGTCAAAATGAGCGTGTCCGCTCACTTTTATAGAATCCACCACAGAGCGTTTCTCTGCGCACACACAATTGATTCTAGTCAGTCTCTTTGTTTTTATGAATCTTCTCCTCGACTCTCCCCCCCCCCCCCCAACACCATGCAATTTTAATTTCCCGGCAGGGCCTGTAACCAACCAGAGATAGTGGTCCTCTATTTGAATGACTTGGTCTTGCGTTTGTGGTAAAAGAGAAATTATTTTTGTATTGGTTTTTGCTCCCCCCAATTCTTCTCTTTTGGAAGGTGTGCAGCCCTGCTTCTCCTTTAGAATCCCCTGCTCCACCCAGCTTGGCACTGCCTCCTTCTTATTCCCATCACAAAGCACACTGCCCCTATTCTTCTGGCCTTTGTAGCCATATGGCAAATCCATGTAGACACAGCCAACATCCATTTATTCAGGCACATAATGTCCCGCAACAGGGAACAATTGGAACTTTGTTTGCTTCTATTATTGATGCGAATGGGCAGAGAGAGAAAAAAATCATTTAACTATAAGAGATATCCAGCTAATTATGAGCCATATGTGCCTATAGTTTCAAAGCAATCCAATGAAGTTCATTTTAAATCTAGACTACTTTATTAGGTACAGAAGACAGATGTCCCAACAGTACATGCATCAGAGAAAACCATGTAAAGAAGTTCTTGAAATATTTAACTGGAGCTCATTCACTGTGAGAGGGACTTTAAAGTGCCCTTTATCACCAGGATACGTAGAGGAAATTGAGGGGAGATTTCTAATCCTCATTGCCAAACAGTTACCCTTAAAACCATTCCAGCTTGGATTCTAGGATAGAGATTTTTTTGAAACAAACACGAGGCGCTTCATAAAATTGCTTCTGCAATGCAAATCCTGCCCGAAGTCAGATGCTTATTTGAGTTGTCTTGACCCTAGACCGAAGAGCAAAGCAACCCAAATAACTCGCTGTTGTTTTCCAATGCAGAGGGCTACGTGCTTCCTAGAATGGTGGTGCACTTTTACTAGTAGGCGAACTGGGAGTAAGGGTTTATTATTTTCAGATCTCGGCGATTCGATCATGGAGAGTACCCTTAAGTGAGAATCCTGCAGTGCATTTCGAAAGGGAAACGGCACTGCAGAAAAATTAAAGAGAAACTCGTTAGAGGAAATTCTTTATGAAATGCAATTATTGGCAGGCTCTCCACCCCCGGACACCGCTCTTTCACCCACAAAGCCAACTATCTAGGTTAAAGGATTAGCGTTATCTTTAGCAGTGATTGCAACATCTA